CCAAATTGTGTAGCTAAAAGTGCTTTAACGACCCTCTTGAAGGATGCAAATGACCATCTGTCTGCAAGGAATATAAATCCTTCCATTCCCCACTATCCTGTCAGAGCTGAAGAAGATTCTTGGATGAGAAGTGAAATGTCTTAAAAACAAAAACAAAAACCAAGAAGTTCAGTTGCCTCCTGAAAAAGCACCTTTGGGACAACATAATTTGAAGGGATCCTGGAGGTTTTCTAGTTAGTACAACCCCCTGCTCTAGCAGGAAACCCTATACAATTTCAGATTCTTTTTGTTGTCTTTGTTTGTCTTCTTAACTGCTGATTACAATTTATGTGCTTTGTGTAGTGCTTGATTTGTCCAAACTCTGTAACAAAAGTTGAATTAAACATGGATGAATAATGTTTAAATTCACTCATAAGTAGCGAGAAAGCAAAGATATGTGTATGCAATTGGGAAACTCAGCAATTACCATGGAAAAGATTGGAATGAATTGTGACTTTGGTGCTTTCTAAAGGATCTAGTTAAATCTTATTTTTTCTGGATTAAGAATTGAAGGACATAACAAAAAATGTTAACTTTCAAGAAAACTCTGCTCTAGAGTTTGGAGCTGCTTAGAAATTTTATTAATTATAGGGTATCAACCTGGAGTTGCTTGGAAGAAACTCCAGGTAGACTGATCTGATTATATTTCTTTTTTTTTAAATAAAGTTTTATTTAGGTTTTCACAAAACATACAAATAAAAATAAAATATCTTTTTTTGAGAACAGCATGCCCCTGGGTTATCACTTCTCCATACAGATACAAACTCAATACATATTCATCTTATACATTCTAATCCATATCTTATAACTATTTTCACATTTTTTTCAATAGCTTTTCCCTTTCTTTACTTTCTATAGCCTTATTTTAAATTATCTCATTCCTTTCTTAATTCAATTACATATCTTTTTCTAATTTTTAAAATCTTTCTAATCAATACTTTTATACTTTCATCTGTCCTGTTTACAATTTCATATTATCTTTTCTCGTTAAACAAATTTTCCCCTGTGGTTACTAGACTGGAGTGTAACACCTTTGTATCTTTTTTCAAATCTTGTTTAAAATTTAAGTTGCACCTTTACAGTTATAACATTCATTTTCTAACCTCTATTTTATAACACATACCTATTTTCAACCAAATTCTGCTTGGTACATTCCTTTCAAAATTGATCTGATTATATGTCATACTGAGGTACAACTTAAGTTCACTGACCTAATCTTGCTAGAAATTTTACTAGCATTTTTTTTTTGAAAGATTGCATTATCCCCAAGACTAATTAAAAACACTTCGTATCTGCTCTTGGGCTTTAATAAAGGTATGATTTGCACCTGTATTTTAATATTCTGAAAATAAATTATGAACTAAATAAGGAACAAAATGTTTTTAAAAATTCAATCAAGTATATTGTCACTAAAGTTTTAAAACCGCTTTTATTTAATGATTGAGTAGAGAGCATATTTCATTTTGCAGTAAAAAGAATGATTCTATAATTGTAATCTTCATTTAAAATTACCCCCTGCAATGAAAAATGTGCTTATGATGGGGCAGTACCTCAATCTTGTTTGTAATGGGGTGGCTTTTATTTAATCTATTAATGCTTCCAATAACGATGAGAAATGTGGATACTCCTGGAGCATTTGTGTTAATCAAATGACTTGGCACATATTGGAATTGTCCAAGTTCATGTCATTGCATTAAAGGGCACAGCCGATGAAATCACTGACTTGTAATGTACTAGTGATTGGATTAACTTGTCTATTGTGTACAGACTATTTGAAGACTTATTGGAGATAAAGTGGAAAAGATTAAGTCCAAAGAGCTGACCTTTGGCTATTATTCCTCTTGAAAAGAGCTTACAAGCCTTTAGCGTAAGCCTACTACTCTTGAAAAGTGTGTGGTGTTAGAGTAGATCAGAGGTGATGAATGTCTAACTAATTTGTCTGAAAATAATCTCCGTTTTTCAATTAAATGGGCACTAGAAGACATATGCAAAGTCCAATGTGACCAGATTTGTGGCGCCTCTACGCTTGACATTTAACCTTTACTTCATCATTCTGTACTGTCCAACTGACATTTTGACTGCGAGGGAGCACAACATTTTGGTAAAGTAACTGTCAGGTCAGCCTCCATTCAAATCTTAGGAAAGAAATTCCCCAACTCCATAGATTTAGAGAAAAGGTACTTTTACTAAGAATGAACTGATGGCAGCAAAAGCAAGGCAAGACAGTTCACACCAAAGTTACACACTGGAAGTTCCCTTAAATCCCTCCACCCCCAGGGTCCAGCCAATAAAGACCAATCACCATCCAATATGATGTTATGGGAAGTCTCTTCAGCAGATGTTTAGTTTAGTTTAGGTTTTAGGTTTTAGGTTTTAGGTTTTAGGTTTTAGGTTTTAGGTTTTAGGTTTTAGGTTTTAGGTTTTAGGTTTTAGGTTT